TTACACAGCTAACTCCTCTGCTGGTCCTGGCCTTATCAAGTCACCACCTGCAGGAAGACTTCTTTGATTACCCCTGAAGTGTGTTAAGCTTCCCTGCTATGCACTTTGGTCACACCCTGCCTCAGTTTTGGGCAGAGGCTGACTGATGTTCTGAGTCTTGAATTTTCCACACAGGACACTCAAGGAGGCTGAGGATGGGAGCATTAGCTCTAGTGGCGAAAGATGCGACCAAGATCCCAAAGCAGCCCCGTGTTCACAATAGGAGTGTCTTGATGATTGTAAAATTCTACAAATTTACTGAGGTGATGATAAAAAGACTTGGCTTCCAATGGTAAATACGTCAGTAGTTATCTATGGTTTGCATCCCAATTTTTCAAAACTATTGATTTTTTCTTGCTTTAAACTCCTTCTTGACCCTGTGTTGCTCAATTTCTGATAAGACATTTTTTATTCAAGAATTGGGTATTGAAAGATTACGGTGTAGCAGGGAGTAGAGAATAATGGTGAAGTGAGTGGGTTCTAGAGTTCGATCTCGGATCCTACTCCATGAACTGTGTGCTCTCAATTATTGGCTTCATCTGTGACTCATCTGAAGGTTGAGTTTCCTTTTCTGTAACATGGACATAATAATAGTACCTGCTTTATTGGATTGTTGTGAGGATCAAATGAGATTATTCATGCCAAACTCAGCATAATGTTTGGAGAACAGCGAGGGCTTGGTAAATGCCTTTCTTAGCATTGTGAGCAAAACGCCCACTTTCTAGTCTAATTTCCTGGTCTCCAGAACACTGCCCTGAGAATTTCTCTTCTGTTTCTTTGCTTCTTCCAAGTCCAGATATAAATCTTACTTTTCCACTCTAATTTCTTCTCCAACCTCTAGCCTGCTCTGCCCAATCACATCCTAAGTTCTTCTGCTGCATCCCTTTGCTTAAATATATACCTTCATAGCAACCAGATGACTACAATAAAAAAAGAGGCAAAGTATAAACAAACGGATGAAGATGTGATGCATCCATCTCTTTATTGTAGTGCCAGTAGGAGAGTAAATCCATTCAACCAGTGAAGCTGAATACATACTTATCTTTTAGCCAAGGATTCTACTCCTCGGGCTATACCCAACAGAAACGTGTACATACGGACACCAAAAACCACATAGAAAAAATTTCACAATAGCACACTATTAGTCATCTGCTGCTGAATGACAAAGTTACTCCAAAACTGAGCAACTTACAACCACAAACGCTTATTATCTCATAGTTTCTGTGGGTTCTGCAGGCATTTGAAAGAGGCTGAGCTGGTTGAAGGGCCAATCTCTAGACCTCCCTTGATGAGAGATCTTGATTGAGGTAAGTCCCTTTCTCTGAGCTGCAGTTTGTTCTCTGCAGAGCTGGGTGGGTGCTAGCACTTGTAACCTCACAGTGGTGTGGAGAAATCAGGTAACATCAGGTACAGTGGAGTCTGTTGTGCTCAGATTAAGTCAGGGAGTGATATAAAAATCAAGTATAAGCAAAATTCATTTGACATTCCTTAGATAAGCCTTCTATCACTGGGTTGCCCTTGGAGCTTCAAAGGTCAGGACCCAGGAATTCACTTCTATTGTTTTTCTTTAGATGTCTGCCCTGGTCTTCCTCTCTGTGGACAGCCTAGGACAAGGTTGGCTGTAATGGCAGGGGAGGGAGGAGGGAATGTCATACTCTCCTTGTTGGTTGTTGTTGTGGAGGGCACCTAATTGAATTTCCATATTAAGTATACCTTTACACTGACTGCAGTATATGTGAAAGCACTGACGATTGTGTTAGAGGAAATGTAAGTCATGACTCATCTGTGGAACAGGTGCTCTCCCCAGTTTATCTTGGGTCTAGAAAGCCTTGTGGCTAATGTCAAGGTTAAACCCAGTGACTGGTTAAAGCCTTGATCAAAACAAGGGGCTGCTTGATGCTAAATGACATGTTGGGATAATGGGTAGAGAAAGGAACAGAGGTCACATGAAATATAATAAATGGCAATTTTGAAATTATGTAGTAGTTTGTAGTTTACAAAAAAATTTCTTAGGAAAATAACCTTATTTCAAAGATGAAGTTTAACTTCTCAAGATCATCTGACTAGTTTACCAGAAGAGGTGGGATTCATAACCATATCTTCCAAGTTCAAAACCATAATACTTCCCAGGAAACAAGGATATCTCTTCCCTTTCCCCTCTCCTCTCTCCCCCCCTACATCTTCCCCTCCCCTACTTCTCCTTTCTTCTCCTTCTGCTTCTCCTTCTCCCCTCCTCCTCCTCCTCCTCCTCCTCCTTCTTCTTCTTCTTCTTCTTCTTCTTCTTCTTTCTCTCTCTCTCTCTCTCTCTCTCTCTCTCTCTCTCTCTCTCTCTCTCTCTCTCTCTCTCTCTCTCTCTCTTATTGGTGGTGGTACAAAGAAGTAAGTGTGAGGATTTATGACCCGGCTCTCCTGGGCTTGACCACCTGTACAATCCACTTGACTTTGATCACCTTCTCTAGGCAAGACCCTAAATTAATTAAGACAGTGAGGTGGGAAGAGCAGGTTCTTCTGTGTGGCTATGGTTCTCACCTGGACAGAAACCTGCTCCACAGGATGAGATTAAACATTGTTCCTGTGCATTCTGGGATATGTGAGTTTTAAGGGAAGTCCTATTAGTTTTAGGGAGTTTCTCATGCTCCAGGATGGGGCCAGGTTATCATTTAATACATATATGCCTGCATCATGCTTATGAATGCATTTAATATCTGCTAATTAATATATAAGAAAATCATTTGAAAAGACAAACAGTCCCCAATAAACACACATGTGAGGAGATCATTGTGATATCATAATTTAGGTCTGGGTTTGACTAGGACTATCTCTGTGCATAGGACTATGTCTTTGCAGGGCCGTGTTCCCTTTAATGTAACCAAAGCTCCCTAGACAGGGCAAAGCCCTCCCATACCTCCCAGGAGAACCCAGAAGTAGCCAATGGGAAGTGGTCTAGGGAGAAGGGGAGGAGCGGGCTCAATGGAGACTCTTCACTGAGTTCTCACATCCAGGACAGACGTGTCTCTCTCCACACAGCATCTCATGTGAGTCATTACAATGTAAGCCATTCCCTGGTGTTTCTTCTGGGACTCAGATAGCAGCACGAGGCCCCCTGGTGGCCCGAAAGAATTCATGAGTTTCCCTGTCAGGCATTGAAGGGCAGGTGTGACTGGAGAAGGACAAGGTAGTCAAGACTCACCTAGACCTGGTGCTGACAGTGAGGCAGGGCAGAGGAGGGTGAGCTTTTTGGGGAGAGTTGAGAACTAAAATATTTTCCTTTAATAGGTGAAAACAAATGGGCTGTAATTCTGGATAAATCACTCACTTTCTGATTTTTCATTCAGTAGTTCATTTAGCAAACACTACCGAGTACCTACTCTGTGCAAGACAATTTATTAGGCATCACATGGGGTTAAAAAAATAAAGACACACTGTACACTTCTAAGGAGCTTTTGATGAGAATAAAACTTTTATGCCACCGACATGGTAGAAATGCAAGTGCCCTCAGAGAATGAATAGACTCTGGAAGGAGCAGTTACTTTCGGATGAAAGGGAAGGCTTCTAGGAAGCGGTGGCACTTCAGCTGGGGCTCTAGTGGGAACCAGGATTGGATCTATTAGGATGGAGAAAGAAAAGATGGCATCTGGAGGAGGAAAAACAAGTTTAAACAGACCTGGAGGAAAACGGAAACCTGATCCAGGAAGCGTGACCAGTCTGGTCTGACTAAACTCATAAGAAGTTTTCGGGTTGCAGGGAGAGTGAAAGCTGGATACATCTGTTTGGATCAGACCCTGGAGAACCATGAACACTTGCCTGGGAAATTTCTTCAGCAAGCAGTTGGGAGCTTTTGAATATCTTAGAGCAGAAAAAAATGCAGGTCAAAGCACAGACTCGCTTCCACTGAAACAAACACAATGCCATACTCTTGTATTTCATCCAGAGGAGGGTTGGTTTCCATGTGTTTAAGATCATCATTCTCTGCTCTACTGTAATCAACAACTCCAGACTCTTTCTACCATCTGACCTTCAATGCCAGGAGTAACTAAGCCATCAAAGCATCTCCCTTAGCAAAACTACCAAGTACCAGGGAGTGGTCAGAACCAGAGGTGCCTGCCATATTTAATTCAATTCCTTGATACAAGAATACCTTTCATCCAAAGGGCTATGCTAGGTTTGTTTAACCTGGCCTTGTTTTCCAAGGTTTTTTAAAAAAAGGGATGTGTACCTGTTTAGCTACATGCAGTGTAAACTCCATGAACCAGGAATATTTCTGGCCAGCGTTGTGGGGCCGAGTCCCCGCCCTGTGTGGAATAGCTTCATGTTCACAGAATTGAAGCAGTAACCTTAGAACTACCACAGCTAAGCAGCCCACGAATCTACACAAAGCTTGGCACATAGTTGGTGCTCAAAAATATCGTAAGCAACTAGTTAATGACTGATTCCCCAATAAATATGCAACGTGCATTGAACAACACATTATAAAATTCCAGGCATTGATTTCCTAATTGTATTGGCATAAAAATTTTTGCTATCTAGTAAAAATAATTAACAGTATTCTATAGAAGTAATGAAAAAAAGGATGTATAAAAATTAAAATCCTTGCCTTGGCTGGGTTTCCCCTGTAGTTTGGAGCATTGTCTTGTACACCAAAGCATTGCAGGGTCTTCTCCCAGTCGGGGCACATACCTAGGTTAAGGGTTCGACCTCCAGTTTGGGTGCTTAGAGGAGGCAACCGATTGATGTTTCTCTCTCTCTCTCTCTCCCTCTCCTTTCCTCTTTCTTTCAAATCAATAATAATAATAATAATAATAATAAAAAAGGTGTCTTTGGCTAAGGATTAAATTATAATAATAAGATAATATAAAAAAATCTTCTAGTTGAGTTAGGAGGAAGCAACATGCCCACTTGTGAGAAATAGAGTAGAGACACTTGTTGATGAGGCAAGGGGAGATGGGCAACCGAAACAGCCATTTAAGAAGTGTCAGCAGCAATGAGTATTTATTATTTCGAATAAAATGTACATTAAACTTTTATATAAAAATCATCAAAAGTGCTATATTGGGTTATTTTAATATTAATTTAATCCCCTATCCTATGTCATCTAGTAGTTTTACCTTTCACCTCTTTCTTACTTTGGATACATCACTATAATCATCTAACATTGTCCAACGTTAAAACATAAAAAACATTAGTTTATTCTTCAAGAGAAAGTACCACCAGTCAGTCATGAGTTACTGAAAAACAAGTAAAACAGGTGCCAGACAATCAACTTATTGAAAAAACAAGTTATCACAGAATTTCATAGAAGTATGCCAAGTCCAAGGCCATGGAGACTCTCGGCAGCACATGTTTGCGATACAGCTTCTTATGCCTGTGGGTTATTTCACAGGGAGACGGGTCACATACCTAGGTTGTGGGTTGTGTGCCAGAACCATCCAATTGTTTTCCCGTCTTTTCTTGGCTCCTTTCCAAGGTGAACCAAATGCTGTCTCATGCTGCACACCTCCCATGACCCTGACAAGGTTTAATGTGGAGAAAAAGCTTATTCTGCAATCTGAGAAATAGCCCTTAGAGTTAAGTTTGTCATTAGAGAAGATACAAGTCATTTCTCCCACATGAGGATCTGCCCCCCACCCCTCCTCCACCCACTCCAATTCCCCTCGTCCGCTCCTGTGCCAAGTCCGACCTCTCCCACAGGAGTTGGGGGTGCACTGGTTGACGCAGGGGAGGCAGGATGCGCAGCCTCGGGCCTCACTCGGTCTCTTTCAGTCCTAAGCAAACAAGCTCCTCCGATTTGCCATGAGCGCTGTCTGGCTCTCGCGTCGCCTGCCTTTCTTGTGCCTCTGTCTCAGCTTCCAGCACAAGGCGCTGGAGGCCAGCAAGAAGAGTCCCGAGGAGAGAAGGACCAGGCCCAAGATGGAGATGATGGAGCCGTGGGAGTTGAAGCTGTAAGCCACGGCTGTGACCACTATCCCGGTGATGAGGATCACCACGGCGAAGGGGATGATGCAGCGGTAGCAGGAGAGCTCAGCGCCCCCGGTGGCGGCCATCAGCTGGATCTCGCTGACCACAGGGACCGTGGTGATTACGACTTCACTCTTGGGGCTCTTCTCCGTTGTTCCCGGCTTGGGAGGTGTTGGGGTTCCCAGAATCTCCTTGACAGGCTCTTCAGTGGTCATTTTTACAGCGGTGTTTCCCAGCTGAGTTCACAGACTAGACCTTGGGGCTCTCACCAGGGTGGAGGCTGTGGAGGGAAAGACGGGAGATGTCAGAGAAATAAATGCAGGACAGCGACCCCTGCAAGGAACAGAAAGAGCTGCGGAGACACCGCTGTGTCCTTTTCTGCAGGGGGGAATGCACGTGGAAAGAAACCCAAATTTCTATTTCTAATTATTATTTTTTAAAAATATATTTTATTGATTTTTTACAGAGAGGAAGGGAGAGGAATAGAGAGCTAGAAATTTTGATGAGAGAGAAACATCGACCAGCTGCCCTCTGCACACCCCCTACCAGGGATGTGCCCATAACCAATGTACATGCCCTTGACCAGAATCGAACCTGGGACCTTTCAGTCAGGCTGACGCTCTATCCACGAGACAAACCGGTTTCAGCACTATTTCTAATTCTTTGTATTCTTTTTGCATTGGTAGAAAGCAAGATAAAACAGATCACCATAAAGAAACAAAGATGTAAAAAGCAGGAAGCACTTTGCAGTGTTTAATAGACCCTGGCGGTGGACTGATGTTTGACTAGCCTTTCCTCCTTGCCTATTGCTTCTCTTTCCTCTAAGCACACCGGAGAACCTCCTTCCGAATCCAGAGGCCTCCCTCAAGGAGGCTACTTTATAAACAATACTCCGCACAGTTCTTTCCACGGCTCATAGCAACTCAGACCCTGCCAATGTTTCCGGGCATAACAGGCATTCTTTCCAAACTCACCCATTCACTGCCCACTGAACCAATGTCAAGACCAGAAGCCAGCGTACCAATGAGGTCCTTCTACATCAGCCAGACAGTCAGCCAGTCTTTCTTGTGTGACTACTAAGCACGGGGCACCATGTGTCCTAGGACTTGGGTGTGGATGCGGTTCCGTAAAATTTTAGTGACAACAAGGCTAAGATGTGTGGATCTCAAATGTGGCAATATTCTCCCATCCATGTGAAAGGGGAAGGGGAGGGGAAGCTAGGTTTTTAGGAAAGTTTTACAAGTTCATTTTGTCCCCACACGATGCACATCTGTAAATATTTTGAATCTGAATATTTCTGCACAGAACCCAAGACTCCATCAAAAGCATCTGGCTGAAATGCTGTCTGTGAGAAATAAGCGTAAACTCTTTTCTGCTGCTCGGACACATTAAGTCATTCCTCTTTGTCCATCAGAAGCTGGCTAGGAGCTAAGTTATGCAGATTACGGAGGCTGTTTCAATGATTAATATTAATACTTGGGTCATATTAAGCTCTCACTGAGAACAAATTCAAGTTCAAATCAAACCCTGAGCAGTGAAGCTAAATCTATGAGAGTTCTCTATTTGCATAAAAATTTTAGTCACAAATTAATTACTGCTGTCCAATGACACCCTAAATATTGGCTGAGCCAGTAAAAGGATTTTTGAGATTATCTCTGAAAGAAAAAAAAAAAAAATCTTCACCCCAAAGCTGAGATGCAACCTAAACTGAAAATGAAGATCTGTCCCCAAACTACTTACCCGTTTCTCAGGGAGAAGCAATCCATTAGCAGGGAAACCACTCTACTTCGTTGGTGGTGGTGGTGGGTGGGTGGGGGCGGGGGCTGGGAGAAACCTCAGAGCCTCAGCTTCTTCTGGTCAGCTTCTGGGAAAAGAGCCCGTGACAGCATGTCCGTCACTGAAACAAATCTTCTCTGGGGAAAAAGGAAAGAAACAAAAATCTTGAATTATATGGCCAGTTTCGGATCCTAGAGTTCTTTCTTCCTTTCATTCTACCTCTGTTCCTAAATGACGCTTGTCTTTCCCCCTCTCTCCTTTTATTTCCTCCCCCTCTGATGGCTCCTCCCTGTCATTTTCCCCCCTCACTTTTTTCTTTTCCTTGCCAGCTGATTCGGATTTTGACTTTGACCCCCCCCTTCTCTCTCTCCCCCTCCCCCTCAGTGACATGATAAGTGCGAATCCTTCCCCAGTCCCTAGAGACAGGAGCCAGCTTTTACTTTATTTCTCTCCCAGCACTGACTCAGTGGACTGTGGCTGCATTACTCATGTTTTCCTCAGCCAGGCCTGCCTCGGGCGCTTCAGGCATTTTCATAAGAAAACCCCTGATCCCGCTTTGCCCTTTGCAAACCCAGCGGAGGGGACAGACCCTGTAGGGTGGCAGGAGCAGCTGCAGAGTCCTCGGGCAGCTGAATTCAGCCTCTCAGCCAGCAAACCAATCTGGGTTCCTAGTTCCCCAGTGATCTTCCTTGACTTGTGTGTGCAGGCCATGGGCAGCTTAAACCCTCTTGATTGTTGTTAATTCGTTTAGAAATGCAGTGGGAGATACAGATGTTTGCCCTAAGAGGGAAAACTAGCCACTATCTCGGTCTCCACGTGATGACTTACTACCTCTGGGAGGAGGTCACTCTGGCCGTGTTGACATTATCGTCATCACTGTCATTTGCAGAGCTTCTCCTATGGGCTGGAAACGGGCAGCACGCCCGCATGAACACATCTGCTCCCTGGCTTACTAGTGAGTTTATACCTGAGTTTACCGATAGTTTATCAATGAGGCCCAGAGAGGGTAAGTAATCTGACAAAGGTCACACAGAAAGAGAGAACTCGTTGGCTTGAACCCTAGTCTTTAATGAGCATAAAATTCACAAGGGGAGGGGGTGAGGGGTTGTTAAAGGTATATTCTGATTCATGGGTCTGTCACAGGGTCCTGCCCTGTGAGGATTTGTGGCTTCTTTAAGAAGCAAGATATTTTAAACATTCAGACACCTAGGGCATAACACCTCACCCTCTCAAACAATGAAGTTAAAGACGCACTTCTCACCCCTCTCCCTCAATGGCCTTATCGGTTTATACTTTATTAGACAAGCTGTTTTCATCTTAAAGCTCCAGGTTATCATTTTGAGGTTAAAAAACAAAAAGGATAATACTGGGAGACTCTTATAAGCTGGCCTCTATACTTGTACAGCTAAAACTTATCCATCCTTCATTTTTTAATCTATACAAGTTTCGATAACTTCTTTTTAACAAATCTTGCCAATCTACCCACCTAGATTAAATCTCTGGAAATATTCCCCCTTTTTTCAAATCTCCGATGTTAGATTCTCTAACTGCTGGCAGAGGGTGTGGGCACAAAGGGGCATCTCACCTCTGCTCCTTCCAGCAACAGCACCTTGCCGATTTTGTCACAAAGGGGGAGGGACCAGGGTCTTTTCTCTCTAGAATGGAGCCAGGGAGGACTTGGGCTCCTTCATTTTGAAACATAAAGTTGACAAGTCCCTGAAGAGGCCTAGGGGAGGGGTCCCAGCCTGCTGGGGAGGATGAGTCCCTGGAGGGCCTCCACTGCCCCCACCCTCACCCAGGAAGAGGCTGTGGCATGGTGTTGAAGATAAGGAATACTTATAGCTGAAGATAAGGAATACCTGGAGCCAGCCAGGTCAGCACTGGCCATCATTGTTCGGGGAGGGGGTAGAGGGGTCACTGGCTACATAAATTAGAGTTTCTGGAGACTCTCTTATAAAACCAGCAGTCTGCCCACTGCAAACTGGCCTTTGGGGGCAATTCCTGTCTACTTCCTAGCCTGGGCTGCCTTCCCCTAACCAGCCCGATAAACCCACTGAAGGTCAGACTATCACCTTCTCCTGCGGAAGCTCACATTGCCCCATTACCAAAGTCAAAGGTACACGAACCATCCAGAGAGAAGCCAGAGCTGCCTCTTCCCCTGGGGAGCCTGCAGCCCAGTCTACAGTGAGGGGCAGGGAGCATATCCCTGAGCCCTGGAGCCTGCAGGCAGGTCTGTCACTGCTTGTAACAGCAGAGCTTTCTTCAGCCTCTTAGACCTCAGGTGTCATATTCCCCCTCCTTCTCCTGCCTAGACGCACAGCTGCCCATCTCCAGAGCCTGAGCAGATAATTGGGGATTTGCAGTGATAAACACACACAAGTCGGAAGCCGTGGGATCAAGCAGAAATGGCACCTGAAGGATAAGCAGTACCACTCCAGCGTGGGAGCACACGCAGTTTTAACCTCTTTAGACAGAAATCCAAAGCCAATTCCCAGTGGGGCGCCTGATGCCTTTGAATGCACCCCCGCCCCTTTTTTCTACTCTGTGCCAATGGGATATCAAACACTCCTGGGAACTTCTAAAGGGACACCTGCCCCCACCTCCAGTCCCCCTCCCAGTGAAAAACCTCATCCCTAATGCAGCCAGCCTTCTCTGCAAGCCTGCTTTCAGAAGGGAGAGCAGAGCTTTCTGGCTTTTTTTTTTTTTTTTTTTTTTTAAGCACAAGGCTCCCGAAGATCCCTTGACATTTGGACAACTTCTCAGAAAGTTTCCAATCCACAGGTTCCATCCCTGACCCCCTCTCTTCACCCCTCCTTAGGCATTCAGCAGTTCTCTCCCAGACCTTTCAAAGAGCAAGGCAAAGATCCTTACCTTTCCCAGCCAGAATGGAACTGAGACAGCTGCCAGCCCTGGCCAGCAGCAGCCCAGCCAGGGAGATGCAAATCACTGCCCTAGGGACCGTGAACAAAGTACTCAGGCTTAAACACAGTTAAGGGAGCGGAGAGAAATTGGCGAGAGGAAATCTCTTCCAGGGCTGCTGTACTGTGTTCTAGTTCCCTCTAGGAGAATGCGATGCATATTTTTTAAAAGGAGGGAACCAAGTTTGAAAAGAATGTTCTTTGTTTTTCTCTCTCTCTGTTCTCTTTCCAAGCTTTCGTTTTCTCAGGTTTTCCCTTTTCCACAGCCCCATCCTGTTACTCTCCCTCTGTAATACCTGGGACCTGCAGAAAAGGTTTTATCATTCCCCTCCTGGACTTCTAGGTGGGTGTGGGTTCGGAACACGTGTGGAGGATGGGGAGTGGGGCGGTAAATAAGTCTCTTTCCCTGAAACCCGTGAGTAATAAGAGGAGTGGAGAATGAGAAGGGTTAATGGTGAAAAGGGCATTTGTTGTTTTTTGTGGACAGTCTCCCTAGCAGCAGAGGAGCAGTTTTATCTGCTCCTCATCAGAGGACAGCCAGCAGATAAGGATGGAAACAGACTAGACCACCTTCCACCTAAGACACCATAAACAACAGAACCTGGGACACTTGCTCTTCCAGAGAGAACTCCTGCAAACTGGGAAAACCTCGGTTTACTTAGAAACAGAGTTGTTTAGGGGAGGGGAGATAAACGGGTAAGGGGGCAGGGACATGGCAAAAACCATGACAAAGAGGAGATTGGGCCTATTTCCCTTCAGCAGAAGCTAATTTACCTTCTAGTCCCAAAGGTAGACATTCTGATTTTGCCCCGGAGCCATATGCTTTTGAAGACCTGAAAACTGCTCCTCTGGGAAACACACTTTGTGAGGAGCAATGCCATGTGCATTCGATTACCGGCTCCCACGGACTTTCGGTTTGCTTTCGCTTGGTGTGGTTGGGTGGGCCCCTTTCCAGCAGCCCTGAAGGGGCCAGGTCCTCCTGCCCCCTGGCCCGCCTCTGTGTGCCTTTGATCTCAGCCCTCTCCCAGCCCAATTGGACTCAGTGAGATGCAGGCAGCTGGCCAGGGTTGTCCGTTCCAGGGCTTCTTTTCAGGGTGTGTCTGCATTTATGTTCTGAAACCACGGACATTTGGGAAAGTGATCTGCGCTTGTGTTTTCATTTTGGAGAGCAGTCATGCTATTATTGCTCCCCTCCCTGAGGCACTTTGCTTTGAGATCTAGGATGTTAAAGAGAGATCTGGTAGTACCAAGAGGAACAATAGGTATACCTTAGGTATAAAATGTATTTTACTATTTTCTGGTCAACTTCCAGGTTCCAGAAACTCATAAAATCCATGTGTCTCTAGACAGGAAAACATACATCTTTTAGGTGCACATCCGGGTCACCATTCTCTTACCCGTTTTGTTCTGAGTCACCATGAAAGATGACATAAAACAAAACAACAAAAAGAGTCACTGAAATCAAAGGACACAGTGGGACCTTTGGGCGGGCTAAGTAAGTCATCTCTCACTTCAACAAAAACTGTCATTCTGGCCTCAGATGAGATGAATTGATTTTCTTGTTTCAAAACTGAACCTCTGCTTGACAGTGCTACGCTCCTGATACATTTCCAAACAGTTTGCATAATCCTTTACATTTATGTACATTATTCTTTGAAGATGAGGAAGATCAGCGATAAAAGAGTTATAGCAAATTGGGCTGACAATTTCCCAAGATAAGGGTGTGGCATTGAGTCAGCCTCCCCCAGCGGGCTAGGGAGTCATGAACTCACGGGCCTGTAGGAAGCCCACCACACTTGTCTTTTCCCAGGAAGGAAAGAGAAAAGACAACCATGACTGACCCGTTTGCTACTCTTAATATCTCATAGGATGCATTTCGACCTCCCATTGGCCTCTGGTGACAATGTCCCTGCTCTGTCCATAAAGTGATGTGCACATCGTGTGACCTCAGTCGACTCCTCATCAACACATCATTTCTTGGTTTCATCATCAATTCAGTGCTGGGCGATTTGGGACTGCCCTGCCTCATGTAAAACACTAGTGACCTATGCCATTCTGCAAGAGTCAGTTAGCTTTTCTTTATTCCACATTCGTCGAGCAGAATAAACCTCAGACCTGATCCCAGTTTTCTAGCGCTGGTCTTCAAATGACTCACACAGGGTGGGTATATCAGTACTGGCCCTCTCCCAAATAATCAAAAATGCAGTTGAAACCATAGATTTTAAGCTCTGCGCTTGGGTAAGAGGAACATCCAGTATATTTTCACAACCAATAGTTTTTGCTGTTTCCATCTTTTGGAGAAAGAACTGGGTTGGAGAAGATGTCACTGTCCCCAGGTTTAACTCCAGGGCCTGGGCTCCTTCATTCTGAGTTGACCCAGCCCACAGGCTCAGTTTGAAGAGGAAAGGAACCATGTAACACCGATCAAACGTCTAACGGGCATCACCCGCAATACAGCTCTATCTCCAATATTTGTATTTTAATTTTACTTATGAAGAAACCATAACTCAGCAGGGTTCAATACTTGCCTGGGATCCACTACTAGGGCAAGAGGCAAAGCCAGGGTTCAAGTCCAGGGGCCTCTTCTATGTTGTATTATGAGGTCTCTGTTGCTTATTCATTTTTATTAGATTAAGTGTTACTAGAATATCCTAATTTTAGCCTACAGCCCATTTTCTTGGGTGGAGGATGACATATTCTCACTGGGCTTACTCTTGGAAAAGCATTCTGAAAAGGGGGTCCCACTTGCTTCTAGGCTTCTAGGATGATGAACCCTGATGTTGCCCATAGACATCTGGGAATTGTATAATAGTAGAGCTGTATTACTAAGCAGATTTGAGACACAAGCCAGGTACCAATGGAGTCTGTGGGCGGTGCCATGGCTGTAGGGACATTTCAGAAGTCACCCAGGCCATTCCTCAGCTCCCAGGAACATTTTGGTTCCACTGATATTTATTGTACTCCTTCCAGGCACCAGAAACTTGTCCAAAGCTCTCGCTCAGTAGATAGAAAATAGTAAACAAGCAAGATCTCTGCTCTCAGGGAGCTTACAGTCTAGGACAGGAAAGCCATGGGCCACCAATGTCTACCATCTTTCTGCTGGAGGAATAACCAACTGTTCCAGGAGGCCCAGGGAAGATCAAATCTGTTCTTGGTGGGAAGGAAAGCTTCATGGCAGACCAGCATTAGTCGGTATGAGTAGGAAAGAAGAGAAGGTGATTCTAGGTGAAGGGACAGCCTATATATAAACATAGCTCAGAAAAGTGCCAGTCCTTTGGCACAGAGCTTTGAACAGCCTACGTGGCTGAATCCTAGATCTCAAGGGGCAGG